CAGTGAATGGGCTTGACAGCAGACCAATCAAGCCTACACAAGCAGAGTGACACTAAGCATGACTGGGCCACCGAGGATTGTGTGCTGTGATGCTGTCTTGAAGGCTAGCTCGTCGTCTCCACCCCGAGGGCGACATCTTCCACATCCTTGCAGGTCGAAAAAACAGAGCTCTGTCGGAATGCTGCCGGCTCCAATGCGGAGTCAGTGATGTCAATAGAACCAGCTCCAATGGGTAAGGCGGCATATTTTGAGGCTCCCTCCTTTCCGCAGAGTGTAGATCACGTCTAGCTTCAGGTCCGCAGATGAGGCGCGGCCCCCTCCATGCAGAAGACTGCGCTCTACGTTGGGTCTCGGTCTTCATCACCTGAAATGACGAGCCGAGTGTGGAAGAACAACCTGGACCGCGAATCCCCGCTGACCGCATGGAAATGAGGGTTACATGCGCGCGAAAGCCGTGACGACGTCATCGTGTTTGGAAAGGCTGGGGTTCCAGGGCCGACAAGATCTGTCACATCGCTCCACTCGCATCCGAAGCGCTTGTGACGACAGATCATGCCCGCAAGATCTGATGCCTGAGCGAATATATCCCTGGCGAGCAGGTCGTACATGTAGGAGGTAGCAGCCCGCTCCCCAGCAGATACTGGTCCGGGCGGGTCCTCCTCCAGCCAAGAGTTTTTTTTTTTTCTTGTTGTTGTCTCTCCCGGTTGCAGCCCGACAGAGAGATAGACAGACCGTGAGGTGGGCGTGCTGCCTTCAGCTGGTACCGAATGCAGGCAGATAAGGGCCAACACGCCCAACTCGTGAAGGGCCGAGCTTGACAGGGCAGAGGCGGCGAGAGCTATACGACGAGCAGCAGACACGCCCTTCGAGGCGACGTGGTAGCACGGTATGGCTCTGTGGCACCAGGTCAATAGTGCAGGTTCTGGCGCTCGGTGCATGCACAACGAGGTGCGATGCAGCGGCACGGCGGGAAGCTTATATTTAGCACACTAGATCACGTCCAGCTCGTTCGTCGCTTGCGCTATATACCACTGTCGCGAGTCGAATGGGACCAAGGATTTTCGGCTGACGCTCCTCGTTCGAGGATGGACCGAGTCGTACTGATGCAGATGCAGGCAGTCGGAAAAATGGCAGGAAATGAATAGACCCGGGCCAGGCGTGCGTCTCGTGTTACCACACAAACCAACATCAAAGCAGGCCGAGCTCGTCAGTCGACCTTGTTGTTCGACTTTGGGAGAGGCCGGCCGGCCGGTTGGCAGCCAGGCAGCCAGAACTTGGTGATAATACGAGTTTGACGGTGGCCATTGCCAGTGCCATGGATGTGGAGGACCTCGGCTCCGACCAGGAATTCAGGCTCATCTCATCTCGTCTCAACTCATCACCATGGAGAGACCAAAAGTCCAAAGAAAGGTGGGAGTGGCTGCACTTTGCCTCTTTATTTCAGTGTGCCTGCTACGAGTCGTGCTGGAGGCATTTCAGCCCCCACTGCATTAGCCACACCCACGTCGGTACCACACGCACACCGCAAGCACCCAAAGTACTGCTGGCTGACGGCGGCACTGCGCGCGCTGGGGGTTTCCACATAGACTGGTACCTCAGATTCAGGCACTGGTGTGCTGGAGGGCACTAAGCAGGCACTCCAACGCTTCGGGCCTGGCAGAACCGCCATGTCTGATATGGATGGATTCCCCCTTCTGCACCCACCTTTGTTGTGCATGTTACTTTTGCAACACAGCCAGCTCCGTCTCCATTGCGACTGTGGATTTCTTCCCAGTTTCGTTCCATGAGTCTTTGCCACTGTCCAATAGAGGAATCTCAGGTCCGTTCAGGTGTCTCCTCAAAGTATCATCTGTTGTCCGTCATTGTTGATGGTGCCCCCCTCCCTTCAATCCCCCCCTGCGAGCAGCATCTCTCAGTTTCGTCATATCCACCGGCGACAGGCCTGACCCCAGCTACGTCGCTGCATCGCACCGCTGACGACGGCTAGCTTGACTCGACGGACGACTTGGGTTGCTGTCCTGAAGGCGGCACTGCAGAGCCCCCCCCCCTGGTCTAGACGTGGACGCTGAGCGCGGGTGCTTGGACGCAGAGGCCTGAACTCACCCCATGCACACAACTGGTTTCTCGATCCAGGGCTCCCGCGAAGGATGGAGTAATCGAAATTGCACCCTGCGCCGCCAATATCAACAACAAAGCCAGCAAACCAGCAGGCAGGCAGCAGGCAGCAGGCAGCAGGCAGGCCGTCCGTCAATACCAAGCGAACAGCACAGGCGGCTGCACAGCACACCTGCCGCCTGTGTGTCGCTTGTCACCCACCACGAATTATCTTTCCCCCCCTCCTCCCCCATCCCATGTTGGGTCTGATTTCCTCGTTCCCATTTTGGTCTAACCGATCCAAGGCGTGACCACGAGCAAAACGAAACGATACGGCGCGATCCTGCATTGGGTATTCGTTCCAAGAGCCGCCCTGTCAGCCCAGTCAAAGCCCAGCCACGGCCTACCTTACCTACCAACTCACAGAGCCGCTGATTGCGCTGTGCGCTGTGCTGCCCCTCTCTCGCTCTCCCTCTCTCGCTGTTCACTCTCCTCCGCATCCACCCCTGCCTACCTAGCGCCGGCTCGTGGCTCGTTCCCACTTGGTTCCCATCCCATCCCACAGCTCCTCCGAATTCGACCTGACGAGACAGGCCTGACTGACTGCATCACCCACTCGCTCACCTTCTGGCCCGCTGGCCGCCTCCGGACCTGGCAACAATCCCTTCACTCTTTCCATCATTGTTTTGCCGACAACCTGAACCACCCAGCTCGACACAACGCCGTCAGAGACACACACGCAGATACGCAGACCAACTGTCCTGCTTCTCCCTGATAAGCCATCCATTTGCTCGACAGACGAAGCCAACCGCGCCACTGCAGCAAGCCTCGCGACCAAACCCTGGCCGTGTCGCACCTTTGCGCATTGGCACCCGACACTGCATATCCTCCTCCTCCTCCTGCCTTGCCCCCCCTTTCGACACATGCGACGGGCCCTAATCTCACGATCCCACTACATCCTCACCACCCCCCCGACAATAACATCGACCGGCTCGACTTGTCCAGCAACCTCCGTTGCTCACCTTTTCGCACCTCTATCGCGCCGCTTCTCGAACGACCGACTCTGGCGCGACTCGCGAATTGAGGTTCGACGCCCCTCGCGCCGTCGCTGCCATGTCAGCCGCGTCTGGCTCCCACTCTGGGGCCGCGAATGCGACCTCGCCCCCGAGCAAACGAGATCTGCGATCTTGGTGGAAAGGCTTCAAGCTGCCGTCGAAGCACCAGGAATCTCAGGGTACGACTCACTCCAGTCGCGTATCCCAAGTCCCACACAGAACACAGCAGCCAGTCTTCAGTGAAGACG